CTCCTGGCTCCTTTCCTTGACTTCCTACTTGACCGTATACTTGCTACAACAAAAAACTATTTAAGCCTAAGGGCTAAAAATTCCCATAACTGCAAAAAAAAAAAAAGAGGTTGGGAGGGGCAGATGACTTGCTTATACCTGTATGAGGTGCTGCTACAAATGCTGAGGATGCTCCCCACTTGCCCTGCCTTCATAAGCTCCCAGTACAAGTCCAGTCTAGCACAATGTCAGTGAAATGGTACCCAGTGCCAGGGCCACATTCATTTGCCTTCAGAGAAGAATATTGTCAGCCAGACCTTGTTGTTACTCAGGAAAATTAACAACTCCCCAGACAGGAAGAACTTACCCTAATTTTTAGTATAAGCCAGGACCAATCAGAATTTCCAAAACTAGCATGAGGATCATCAACCCACTTGTATGCTGACCTAAAAAGTGCGCATCTTCAAAAGGACAAGAGCATATAGACAGTGCGAGCTCAAGCTGTTGTCCTCGGAGGACATGCCAATACACTTACAAGGATGAAGTGAGGTGAGCTGACCACCCTCCAGACGAGCCAGCCTACGGGGACCATTCTGGCCAGTGCAAAACATCAAAGCAGGCTGGGGACATCCAAAACCTTTCCCCATCCAGTAAGGTCTTTTTTACTATACAGTTATGGTTAATGTTTATATTCCCATGGAAGACATAATGTTCATGTGACTATCATTGGGTCACCAGAAGACCCAAGAAAAGAGGGCAAGACAATGTGTACAATGAACATGGTAGATGTGTAGCTAGCAAATAATTAAATAAAAGCTGTATGATGGTGTTCCTACGAAGTAGTGATGTTTTAGATGGAGATTTACAGAATTGTTGTTAGCTTCATATTATTGAGTTAACCTTGTGCAATATGACTATTTGAGGGAAAAGTCAGGTCCCAGAGGACCCTTTCAGTATGCTGTGACTGTAAGAGCACAGCAGGAGTGTATATTTTTTATATTTATTTAATGCAAAATAAAACCTAATGTAGAAGCAGTAGATACATGATCTTTTGAAGATCATTATTTTGTGTAAAATTCTTTGTTCAGCTCTGTTTTTTAAACTGGCTAACAGAATGATGCAGAGGCATTGCAATATCCAAAGCAGTATAACTTAGTCTTTGTTCTGTAGGTCAAGTTAAATTCAGCTTAGCAGCTAGGAACAGATTGTTTACTAATTTTTTCATTCATTTTCAAAACAAACAGTACATTTTCCTAATAATCACAAGTGATTATGACTTAAAAAGCAAATTGCTACCATTTTTTTTCAAAACAACAGGAGATCAGACAACACTATATATTTATCTTAATCTGGAGAAATTGCAAGGGTGCACAGATACAGTTGCACAGCTAAAACCAATCTTTTATTTCTCTCTGTCTTTATATTTAAAATTTTAGAAGCCTAAGACTTCTCTGTTTCCATTATGATCTTTTGCTTCCCTAGGAAGCAAAATCTTTAATCCTTTTAGGCAGCCTCTGAGTTTTGCCAGCCTGTATCTGAGGCTTGTTCTGTCTCTGAAAGCGAAGCCTCAGTGAAACAACAAAATGTTTCATGAGCACATTCTTTATAAAAATGATGTTGTACTGGATCCTTCCAGCCTGACACTGCCACTCTCATGTCTGCAACTGTATTGTCCTCTGTGTGCACACACTGTGCTGCCAGGTCCTCTCCGTTACAGGGCTGCTGGTTTTACTAAAGCACTGGAAGATCTCTGGACAGCAGAGACATAAAGCTGTACTTCCATTTTGTGTAATATTGTGAATCCCAAATGCCCGTGTACACATGAATTAACCTCTGGCATGAGACTTGAAAATTGTGAAATATAACAGCAATAAGAAAGTAAATTTTCTTCCCCTTTGTTTATCTCCCTTACTTTTAAACTGTTTAGATGTGTTTTTAGGCTTTTCCCTGCAATGAGGAAGGCTAGCAGTCAATCCTGCCTAGTTACATGAAGCCAAGATGCTTGCATGACTCTTAAATCTATCCTTTCAAAAAAAAAAAAAGACATGAAGTAGTGAGAAACTTATGATAATACTTGTAAAAAGAAATGCTGACTTGTTCCTAAATCTATCACTGACATGGCTAAAAGCAAGTCATTGGTGAGGGTCCATGAGTCAGAAACTGTCTCTCCCCTTAAGAACTTTCAACCCTAAATAACCACATATGCTTTTCTAACATCATGTTACTGTAGTGCTATAAGGTCCTGCATAACCTTGCAGATAATCTTTAATCTTGAAATTCAGGCAAAATTGAAGTGATTCTCCAAACTCCTTAATCTATTACGAGATTGTGCACATGCCACATTTAAAATAATTTGGTGAGTTGAGAGACATGTACAGAAATAGATCCATGCTCCTGAGAAGTTAATTAGACCGATATGGGATCAAGACTGGAATAATGACTAACATTTATTATCCTTAGCAGCTCCATGAAGCTTCTTTGATTGCCCCCAACAGTTTATCCAGGGAAGAGAAAAAGCCTCTTGGCTAATCTGTGTGGCACCATCTTCTCTGCCTTCATTTAGCTCAAATTTTTTTTTTTGCACATTCTCATGTTCCCCAGAGGATTTTAACTCGTCTTACAAGTGGAAGTCAGTAGGGAGGCCCTCACCTGCCTTCTTCTGTCCCTCAAGGTCCTATTTGCAAGTACACCCTACGCTTCGCTTTGAACAATTAAACCTGAGATGCTATGAGAGATATTGTTTTTCAGTACTGCTGGGTAGTTAAAGGGTGTTTCACAGTTGGAACAATATTTTCTTTAAAATATTTGATGTTTATTATTTCACTCTTTAAGCAATATGAGGAGAAAAGGCTGTTTACTTAGAAAGTCTTTATGAAGATGCATGAGACACACCAGTGATATATAAAAACAAAACCAGATTAATTTACTAATGTGACACTCTTTGTTTTTAGGTATACAAAAAGAAAACTGAAGCTGCCAAGAAGGAATATCTGAAGCAGTTAGCTGCCTACAGAGCAAGCCTTGTATCCAAGGTAACACATAATGTATATACATACACACATATATATAGTGACATATCGCAAACCATTTTCAGTATTTATATGGTGATGAGCACCATAGTATTTAGTGCAAATAGCCTTGTCTGTTATCACCTTAAGTTTAGGTTTAAGGTGCAAGTGCTCAATAAACACAGTCACCTCTCTATCTAAAGATAGCTTTTCCCTTCTGGTAATAGAGACAGCACTTCTTCAGGATGTGAGCATCATCGCAGTTTAACAGAGGAAGGAGTTACAAGTAAAGAGACTCTAATATAACAAACAGGCCATGCCAGGCAGTCACTGAAGGAAACAAACCATGTAATACACAAAATGCCTGGGTTTGGGTCTGGGGTTTTTTTTAAGACCTGTTTTTTACCTTGCAATCACAATACAGAAAAAGTCAAGCTCAGCTCACATAGCAAATTTTCATAAGAAAATGTGAATCTCGATTTTACATCCTGCAAGCAATTTGTGTGAGCACAGCATAGGTCACCATAAGACTCTTATAGTGGACCACAGCAGTGTATCCCCAGTACATGTCTAGTAGCAATTTTATAAATTGATTTATACAAACGTTCTTAGTGCCCATAATTTTTTAATAGACTCTTTAAAAATTGTAATTAACTTTAAATTATGCAGAAGAATGTGAAATTACTGCACTGTGTCAATGTGAAAAACCAATTGGGCAACCTCAGAATCATACCAGTTAGAATCACTTGATTTGTGTCTATCAAAACAGATTTAGATATGTTTTGTTCTTACATAAATAAAATCAATTTTAGAGGTAAACATAGCAGTATGAAGAACTGGCATATATGACGTTAGTAGAAGTTTTTGTTAGTTTTAAGTGGGTCTGGGGTGGTTGGTCCTGCACTATACTTCTCTGTATTAATTTGTACACATTTTCAGGGGAAGACTATGTGATTAGCCATACAAGGACCTTTCATGCATCTTTCTAATTTATCTTAGTGTTTGATCAATGTTTGTTCTGAATTTAAAAATTGGAAATATGGGTGTTACCTCATTCCTTTTTGAGGGTTGTTTCTTATGCATTTTAATTTTATAGCTACCATCATAAATACTAATTCATTTCGTTAAAGTGATTTACAGGGTACCTTTAATTTCTCTCATAGGGCAGTTTGCCTTCATAACGGGTACCACATGCACATAAACAGTTTTTTTTAAAATAGCATGCTGATTGGGAAAAGAGCTCAAAATATTACAAAATGTTTTGAAAAAATGCATGAAGGCAACTTTTCACTTGTGAAAGTAACTTAGATGTCATTATGCAGCACATCATGGACTGTTTACATAACACTCTATATAGCTTAATTTTGAAATTCTGCATATGAAAATAAGGAGGTTTTTTGTTTTATTTTTTTTGAAAGAGAAAAAAGTATATTATGGCATTTTCTGAGGTTTGTTTTTAAAAAAAATAAAATATTGTTGATCACTTCAGTGCATGAAGCTATTTGTGCATATATTTAAATTTGCTGTTAGTCAGAAAAGCAATGTAGGACTTTCTTAACTTTTAAGTGATTATTTAAATTCTGCCCATAATGTAATGATTTTCTCTAGTGTGGAAAGTATCAAAATATAAACTTAATGAAGCTTAGTACTAATTGCTTACTCTCATGAACACGCTCAATGAATCCAACAGAGTTGGCATGTAACTAAAGCAAGTCCATTTTGGAATCAGGATGTAAAATACCCAGATGAAATATTATATCAGTATATTCAAAATTGTCATTATTAAATATTTATATGGCATCAGAAGAGTTGTAGTACTTTAGACAAGCATTTAAGCTTGAAGAAATATATATAATACATTATTAAGATTGTTTGGAGTCCATCTGGTCTTTTATGTCTGTGTGTTATACTATCATCCATGAAAGCTGCTTTTAGAGAATATTATTAAGATTCCAGGACTTCATTCTCAAAAGTTAAGACATGCCAAAAGTAACATACCTTTTCCAAAAATGCTTTAATACAATATTAATGATTTGCTCACATGGTATGTTTTAAACTGCATACTGTACTCTGTGTGAGTCTCATTTTGTACACTTACAATCAGGTGTTCACCCTGGGAGCTCCTGTGTTGTATTTACTGCATGTTGTTTAACCTTGCTTCTTTACAGGATTTTCTGCACTGCTCAGTGTTTCACTGTTTCACTTCTTCTGCAGTGTTTCAGAGTAAAGAAATTCTCAGTAACACTCTGGAGCAGGATGTTTGTATTGTCCATATTTTCAAAACACAGCAAAATCATTGTGAAATCAGGTTTTCAGTTATTTTTGTCCTGCTTGGGATCTCTGGAACTTTATTTTTCAGAGTATTTGACCAATATTACAGCTTTTGTGTTCATAGCAGAGCTCCAATGACTTCAGAGTCAGGTGACTGGTAGCTATGAAATGTGCAGTTGTGCTTCACATCACATCAGGACATCCTCTTGCTATATACAAATGATAGGAGTTATGCAGTTATCAAACTTTCTTCCTTCTCCCCTCCCAGAGGACTCTGCCCATGGGAACAGGCAGGCACAATCCAGCAAGGGTGCTGCTCAGGTCCTCTATCTCCAGCTCAGCTGGTGCCTCACACCTCCCAAAGCAGCTGCTCTACCAGTTTCCTAACTTTTTGAACACTTTTTCCATGAAATATTGCCAGTTTTTGAACAACTACAGAGTGTAGGGCATGTGTGAGAGTGTTTGTATATTTTTTTCTGGATTTATTTGCAAGTCTTCATTTTTCTGAAAAGTAAAGAAATGAATTTGGAGTTTAATTCACCGCACCCATCTTGCCTATTTGAGATGCTGGAATTGTCAGAATAGAAGATTGCAGAGAAATGGGGTAAATCTCCTTCTGCCAGGAGGTTTCTTAGCCTCTGCTTGACAGCGGAATAAAGAAATTCAGGAAAGTTGGTTTCCATCACAAGCTCTGCGGCGGTAGTAGAGTATCAGGTGGGGATGGTGGTGTTCTCCATGAATACACATCCCTTTGCCCCCCTTGCTCTGCTTCTCCTCTTCTCTCTCCTCTTCTCTTCTCTCTTCTCTCTTCTCTTCTCTTCTCTTCTCTTCTCTTCTCTTCTCTTCTCTTCTCAGTGGTTTATTGATGTCTTTATAAAACAGGGCTACCACCCAGTAAAGAAGGTAAACATATGATTGTGTAAATATGTCATTTATGCATTAATCCCCATTTAATTTATCAGTTTATTTCCTGTATTTTCTCCTCTTTTATAATGATTGAAATTAATGGGGCTGTTGTTGAGTTTGTTCATGTGTGTAGGAATTGATATGTAAAGTAAAAATCACATTACAAAGCATTATATCTTCTGCTATGCAGATTGCCATATTGCTTATAGTACTGACTAAGCCTTTGCATTGTAAACAAGTGTCTTTATATTTGCCCTTAGTTGCAACTTTTAGTACTATTCAGGTCCAGAAATGCAGTCTCTGGTATCTGGTAATTTGTACAGCATTACACAAAATGCTGTGAATTGCAATTTTACTTTTTCATAAAACAAGCACTTTTTCTAGCTTAACCAGCCTTTTTTCTGGCTGACATTAGTGGTTTTGCTGCATCTTTCAAATATATATATTTAATACAGATTTACATGAGTAAATGTTATATACTTTCATATATTATATATGTGCGTCTGTGTATATTTACATAACATTATATTAATATTATGTATTTAACATGCATAATATATATATATGCATGTAAGTGATACATATATGGATGTTAACTATAGCAGTAAGAGTTTAGCTGTTTAAATAGAAAGGTACAAAGAAGATATTCCTTCCCTGTTTTTTTCTCTCTGGCTAAATGAATATTTAATTCTCTCTGTGTAGTGACACAACTTCAAGTTTCATGCGACATATTTTAGCAGCTATGGCTGAAGCTAAAACCTCTCAGCAAGGAGAATATTATTAAAATTCAAAATACTCAAGTCTATTTCAAAACTCCAATGTTGCATCTAAGTCAAAGTGGTGTCCTCACTTGACATTGCAGCAAATGCATTGGACATTTTTCAGTTTTGTGGACAGTGCAAATCCTTTGGACATGTAAAATTGCTTCTTGAATTATATGCCAGACATGGCTTTCCTAGCCCACCACCTTGCAATTATGTTTCATAAAAAACCTAAAGGTCATCTCTAGCAAGACTGCCATTTCTTTAATGCCATTAGTACAGCAATTTGTAACCAGAGAGTTTCCAGGCACACAAAGTATCTTTGTTACATTTACAGCCTTGCCTATATTGTAATGTAATTGAACAGCCTAAAGAATTAGTCTTTTGAGACTTCAGGGAATACACATGAAAAAGTTTAAACTACTAGTAAAAAGCAAAATGGGGACCATCTTAAAAAAACTCAAAACCAAAACAACAAACTTAGCCCCAGAACTCAAGCAGTAAATTTAATGTTAGTTTCTATTTGTGTATGTGGTGAGTGCACTTACCTAATATATAAAAAGGCAAAAAATATGTCAGCTGTCCCAGATCATGCATCTCCCCACTCCTAATTAAATGTGGATGTACAGGTGTGGCCTCTCCATGATTTCTTTTCTGTGGCCTAGTGAATCCCAAAGTCTTTTCTGCATAGTGGCCAAGCTTCAGATATAGGGGAGCACTGTATTCTAGCTCACTCTTCCCTGAAATAAGCAGCTGCTGGGGTTTAGGACATTTCTTTTTGAAATAAAATTCTGAGTATCTCTTGACACAACTGAACTGTTGTGTCTCCTGATCAGTGCTTTAATCTGGTGTTGTGTACAAGGAGAACAGCATCCCTTCTGCAGCTGGCAGACAGGCACCTGGTTTCCACTTTTTGAGACAACAGATTCCTATATTATATGTTGCCCCAGTCCATGCAGATGTTTTGGAATTTCATAAAACAGCTCAGGCCATTCTCAGTGAAAGCGTCATAGAAAGAATAAATAAAAAATATGGTTATGTTTGATGCATGATATTATTTTTTTGTAACTATTAAAATGCTACAAG